ACTGAAACCATCGAACATATTCAATGAGCTGTGGGCTAATTTAGTCACCCCTTTACATAAAGATATGGCATTGCTAAATGTGTGAGCCCAGATGTCATGGCTACTATCAGATACAAATGATCATGTCACCCCCTCAGTGGCAAAATTCATAGGCGCAATAATCAAATATACCAGAAATAATACTAAGACCTTTTTAAAAAATTGGTTCTAATTTCTGCTTATAGTGATAGCTGTACGAGCAGTACAATAGATAGATAGATTAGATGAAGGAATAGGAGGCCCTTAACTAGAAATTATGAATATTGTTTACATTTTAAATTGTAATGGCCATTGGCTACACAATAAATTTTACTACTACTACTAAAACTAGAAATTAAAATCTGACAGTGCATTCTAATTACCTCCCCCACCAAGTTTACAACCCTCATCTTGCTGCTATAGCACAAGAAACGTGTACCAGGACACCTACACTCAGGGGTCCACCAATTATCACTGGACCACCTTTCCTTCTTACAAATTTCTGAAATAAGAACTGAGAAAAGCAATGATTAATTCCCTTCCATCTCACTAAGGGTGTATTCATCTTCCCTTGTCCTCTGCTCTCATCACTACTAACTTTCTAGGTACATAGATTCTTTCTACTGACTGGTCTGCTGAAGAACCCCTAAATGTCCACCAAGGATTTCTTGTATGTTGGAGAAGATCATGGGAATTCCTCTTGGTGTAACCTCCCCCACCACACAAAGTACTTGCTGGGGTTGTGGGTTATACATGAACTGAAGCTTCACCCAAGAATACAGCCATCCTTTTCCTGAACATTGCAGAGGGCAATTGGTAGATATGTCTTTCAGGGAAGCTGTTAATACTTTGCCTTTTTAAGAAATCCCTGATAAGCTGTTAATTGACCCTAGGGTTTCCCAAAACATCATTTGAAAGCCACTGGATTAACACAAGGGATTCTAGCGAATCCTGGAGTTTCACAATATTAAATTTATGTAGTCAATTAAATAGAATGTGTAATGGAAGTTTGCAACACTGGACTGCAGGGCATTTACATTTGCCAGTATCAACTATTTAAGCAACACGTGAATAATAACTTAACACATTCTCCCAACATGCTAATGATCATCTTTGAAAATCAATAAAAAAGGATCACAAAGTACATGATAGTGAACATCCCTTTGCATGCTGAACTGGGAGCATTTGAGCATCTTCTGGGGGTCACTGTCTGGGGGGGGGGGTGTATCTTACCAGTGCTTGTATAGTGAAACCGACATGTGAAACTACCCTCAGGTTAACATATTACAAGGTTACAGAATTTTTTATCATTAAAAATGGGAAAGGAAAGCAGGATATGTTCTGAAAGCACATGATGACCCAGCAACCTTGCTGATGTTAAGCAGATCTGAGTTTGGTCAGTACTGGACAGGAGGCTTCTTGAGAACTCAATGTATGCCTTAGTGAGCTCCATAATAAAAGAAAGGTGGGATGTAAACAAACACATTTCTGGCTTACAGATTAAAAAAAATAAAGTATTACCATATGGGTATTATGCTATGGTTGACACATGGCTTATAAATAAAAATTAGCTGAAGAGAAACTAACAACCCAAAAATGTCTGGTTTACAGCAAAGGAGGCAGTTAATAACATTTATTTTTATTTATTTATCTATTGCATTTTTACCCTGCCCTCCCTGCGAGAGGGCTCAGGGCGGCTTACACGGGGGCACAAGCCCATACATAAAAGCAGTATAGACACTAAAAGCTATTAAGTCACAACAAAAACAAACTGCTCCATACAACAAGATGGTATCGATCATTTCATTAGGGTGAAATTGTCCTGTCGATGGTCCAAGTCAGTCCAGCAGCATCAGTGCCATGCAGAATTGTGTAAGCATCTGCCGCAGATGCTAGCTGATAAATTATATTCAGATAAGATGCCTGCTCATTCCCAGACTTCAAAATCCAACAAGATGGCCGCTGACATTGTGGTGGACCTTCGCAGACTGGCCCTCAAAGCTCCCTCTAAGCAGTGGAGTCTTGTGAGCAAAAATTCTACCTTGTAAGCTACTGGCATTAAAGTTGTGAGCAAGCAATTTGGCTACTGCATAAATTAGTTTGCTCTGGAGTCATCCTTCCTGAGCTAAGACAAAATAGTGTGAGCTGGAGGCTAAAAAACTGTGAGCTAGCTCACACTAACTCAGCTTAGAGAGAACACTGTTCACATGCAAGTTCCCGAGCCTCGACGATGCCCTCCTCAACTGGTTTGTGATGGGCATCAGAGAGGAGAAACTACGCCGAAAGCTCATCGGTCATGAGGAACTCACCCTTGTAAAGGCACTAAGCGAGGCTGCTGCTTTTGAGAAATCCCAGCGAGACCGCCAGACCTCAGCCATGCACCAGGCCTCTGTTCCCTCGGCTTCTGAGGCATCAGACAAAGAAGAGACCGATCAGGTTCGCCATCCAGCAGAGACCATCACACCGACTCCCTGAGCCAGCTGCGGAGAAGCCCACGAACATCGCTCCTGTCGTTTCAAAGACGCTACCTGCAGGACCTGTGGCAAGACAGGCCACATTGCTCACTTCTGCCACTCCAAGGGAGCCCAGAGATGCACAGCCATGCACTAGGAATCAGCAGATCTGCACACCACTGCCGTCCACGAACATCAGATATTGAATTTGCCCCGGGACACCCCTGATAGCATTAAAGTGACTGTGCTTATAGAGGGAGTGCCTTGCAAGTTGGAACTGGACATGGGGTCCTCCATCTCCATCATCTCGGAAAAACTCTCCAGAGGCTCTGTCCACAGGGGAGTTCCCACCTTAGACCCACGGGCTTCAAAAGAACGAGGGGTGGGGCAAAATCCATGTGAAATACAGGCAGCTTGATGGAATTTTGGACTTGGTGGTGGTGGAAGGGCGGCTCACCAGCTTGCTTGGACTGTCCTGGTTTGTGCCCTTGGGGTTCAAAGTAATGGGGGTGCACCACATGCAGTCCTCGGAATTCAGTAATGTGTGTGATGAATTCCCTGCCATCTTCAACAGGACCCTCAGCCAATACACAGGCCCCCCTTTATCGCTTCAACTCAGTCCCGAGATGCAGCCCTTCCGCTTCAAGGCCCAGAGCATTCTGTTTGTGCTCAAGCCCAAAACTGAGGCCGAGCTGGACCGTTTGGTGGCACAGAGAGCTTTAGAGCCGGTTCCCCATGCCATCTAGGAATCTCCCATCGTAACCCCAATTAAGCCAAATGGGGATGTCTGCATCTGTGTGGACTACAAATGTACGATCACCAAAGCACTGAGGGGCCACACATACCCAGTGCCAGTGGTCAGCCGTGTCCTAGCGACATTGGCGGGGGCCAAGGTTTTCAGTAAACTGGACATGGCCCAAGCATACCAACAATTCCCAGTGGACGAGCCAACCGCCGAAGCACAGACCATCGTCACACACCGGGGTGCTTTCAGAGTCATGTGGTTGCAGTTTGGAGTGAGTATGGCCCCAGGGATCTTCCAGAACTTAATAGACTCTCTTCTGAAAGGCATCCCTGGGGTCCAGCCATTCTTTGATGATGTATTGATAGCCGCCCCCACTGCAGAGGACTTTGCCAACCGCCTACGCACCGTGCTGCAGCGATTTGATTCCACCGAGCTGAAGGTGAAGCAAGAGAAATGCCTCCTGGGGATCCCCCGTGTATAGTTCCTGGGGTTCTCCATGGACACTGATGACATCCACCCAGCCCCATTGCGCCATCACGAACGCACCCGCTTCCAAATCCAAGGCTGAGCTGCAGGCTTTCTTGGGGCTTCTGAACTTTTACCACTTCTGTCTGCCCCATAAAGCTGTATTCGCAGAGCCACTCCACTGCCTGCTCGACAAGAAGGCCCTGTGGGTGTGGGGCCCGTGACAGGCTGCCACTTTGCAGGCCGTGAAGGAGCTACTCACCTCAAATGCCGTTCTTGCCCACTTCGATGAGATGTTGCCAGTTGTCTTCGTATGTGACACTTCTCCCTATGGCATTGGTGCAGTCCTGGGCCATCAGCTGCTGGACAGGAGAGAGGTGCCGGTGGCCTACTACTCCAGGACTCTGTCGACAGCCTAGCGGAACTACTCCCAGATCAACAAAGAGGCCCTTGCAATCATGGCAGGAGTGAGTTCCACGATTCCACAATTACCTGTACGGCCACCCCTTCACCATCGGAACTGACCACAAGCTCCTGCTCGGTCTCCTCACCCCCGACCACCAGACACTGCGGATGCTGTCACCCAGGGTCCTGAGCTGGTCCATATTTCTGGGGAGTTACTAATACGCCCTGCAATACCGGTTGGGGAAGTCCATGGAACATGCAGATGCTCTTAGCCACCTCCCACTCAGCTCCATCAACCCGGATCTGGCCCTGCGCACCAAATCCTAATGATGGAGGACCTGCTGGACCGCCCTCTGCATGCCATGGACATTTCCTACCACACAGCCAGGGACTATGTCCCCTCCCATATTTTGGACTGGGTGGGGAGGGGATGGCTCACAGATCAGGTCGGTCCAGAATTCACAGCATTTGTGTCCCGCTGGGACGAGCTCTCAGTGTACAAGGGGTGTCTCCTATGAGGTAGCTGGGTAGTGATTCCCCCACTGCTGTGTAAATGGGTTTTGGTAGCCCTCCACAAGACCCACCCAGGAATTGTGAGGATGAAAGTGCTGGCCAGGAGCTACATGTGGTGGCCTGGAATTGACAGGAAAATCAAGGCCTGGGTACATCATTGCCAGGCCTGCCAGGAGACGTGTCCCAAACCTCTGAGGGCTCCCATTCACCAGTGGGAGTCTACCCACATGCCGTGGGCACGGGTGCATTTGGACTTTGCCTGCAAGTTCCAGGGGCAATTGTTCTTTCTCCTGGTAGACTCCTACACCAAGTAGCTGGAAGTCATGCCAGTCACCTCTACCTCATCCCATGAAGCCATCCAAACCCTGAGACATGTTTTTAGTACACATGGTCTACCGGACATGGTCGTGACTGATAATGGCATCACCTTCACCTTGGGAGAGTTCAAAGAGTTCCTGCACCCGAACCTCACAATGCGGCTGGACCACCTGCACCCGGACCGAGCCCCGGAGTTGTGCCAAAATCTGGTGAGCCAGGAGACCCCCACAGGGTTCTTTCCAGGTGACCCTGTCCTTGTGCGGAACTATTCCAGTGGCCCCACGTGGATCCCGTCAAGGGTTACCTGAGTCACCGGACCCCTATCATATGAGGTATTGACGGATGGGGGTCAGCTTCTTCGCAGACACATCGACCAGCTCTGCTGCCACCTGCTGCCCATGGAGCCTGACTTCTCTTCTGCCGAGGAGAAGGATGATGGCCTGGAACAATCACCGCCACTGCCACTAACTGAGAACACACACACACACCGACAACAGTGTGCAGCCAGATTACTGGGAAGAGGAAGGCCCTGCACAGGCCGCTACAGACCTTCCGGACTTTGTTCTCGGATCACAGGTCTCCAGTGTGGTTTCTGCTTCACCAAGCCCAGCTCCGGTATCGTCTCCACCCACACAGGCGTTCTCAGAGGGAATATTGCAAGCCAGCATACCTTGAAGACTATGTCTGTTACGGTGCTTTGGAACTTAGGGGGGAGGGGTGTTATGTATTGGGACTGAATCATTCCAGGTATGTCACACCAGAGACTGGCTGAGCTTGGAGCACATGAACAATAGCCTACCAGGACTCTGGAAGTAACCAATCAAGTAGTAATATGTAAATAGGCTATCATTGGGAGTGGGGTGTGTTTGGGTGTGGCAATTGCATGCTATTAAACAGAGCTGAGGCTCTGGGGTCTTGTCTTGCTCTTGCTGAAATTACTAATAAAGTAGAGCTGATCACTGGACTCGGAGTCTGCTCATCCATGGAACCCACTATTTAACACATACCCAGCTCCTTCAACCTTTCCTCATAGGACTTGGTCTCCAGACCCCTCACCATCTTCATCGCCCTCTTCTGGACACATTCCAGCTTGTCTATATCCTTCTTAAATTCTGGTGCCCAAAACTGAACACAATGCTCTAGGTGAGGTCTAACCAGAGCACAGTAAAGCGATACCATCACTTCACGTGATCTGGACACTATATTTCTGTTGATACAACCCAAAATCACATTTCCCTTTTTAACTACTGCATCACATTGCTGACTCTTATATGGTTGGTCTACTAAGACCCCTAGATCCTTTTTGCACATACTACTGCCAAGACAAGTCTCCCCCATCCTATAATTATGCCTTTGATGTTTCCTATCTAAATGCAGAACTTTACATTTATCCCCATTGAAATTCATTTTGTTTTAGCCCAGTTTGTCTGCCTGTCAAGATCATCCTGTATCCTGACTCTGTATTCTACTGTATTTGCTACCCCTCCCAATTTAGTGTCATCTGCAAATTTAATAAGCATTCCCTCTATCCCTTTATCCAAATCATTGATAAAGATGTTGAACAAAACAGGTCCCAGGACAGATCCTTGAGGCACTCCACTTGTCACTCCTCTCCAAGAGGATGAGGAACCATTCACAAGCACTCGTTAGGTGTGATCTGTCAACCAGTTACAGATCCACCTAACAGTCATAGGATCCAAACTACATTTTACCAATTTGTCAACAAGATTATTATGTGGAACCTTATCAAAAGCCTTATCAAAAGTTAAAAAATACTATGTCCACAGCATTCCCTTAATCCAGCAAGGTAGTAACTTTTTAAAAAAAAGAGAGATAAGGTTAGTCTGACATGACTTGTTCTTGAGAAACTCATGCTGGCTCTTAGTAATCACAGCCGTCCTTTCTAAATGCTCAAGGACTGTCTGTTTGATGATTTGTTCTAAAACCTTCCCAGGTATAGACATCAAGTTGATGGGTCGGTAGTTACCCAGCTCCTCCTTTTCCCCCTTCTTGAAGATGGAAGCAACATTTGCCCGCCCCCAATCTTCTGGCACCTCACCTGTTCTCCAAGAATTCTCAAAAATAATGGACAGAGGATCAGAAATTATATCTGAAAGTTCTTTAAGTACCCTTGGATGCAGTTCATCTGACCTGGAGGACTTCAGTTTCATTTAAAGATACTAGGTGTTTATGTACTACCCCTATGCTGATCCTAGGCTGCAACTCCCTTCCTTCATCATGTGTTCTGTTTTTGCCATATTGAGCACCATTTCTCTTGCAAGAGAAGATGGAGGAAAAGTAGGAATTGAGCTGTTCTGCTCTCTCTTCATCACCTGTTACAATGTCATTTTCCTGTCCCCACAATGGGCCTACCATGTCCTTCCTCTTTTTTGTTGCTTTGAACATAAGAAAGGAACTCTTTTTTGTTGCTTTTAGCATTTCTCGCTAGTCTAAGCTCATACCAAGCTCATACTACAAGCACTGGTTATTTGTTTATACTCATCCTTGGTTATAAGGTCCTCCTTCCACTTTCTGAATGAGTCTTTTTTATTTCTCCTTATGGAGCCACCTTGGCTTCTTCAGGCTCCTCCCATTTTTCCTCCTCATAGGAATCATTTGTGATTTGCCATCAGTATTTCACTTTTAAGAAACTCCCATCGCTCTTGAACTCCCTTCTCCTTAAGTATTCCTGACCATGGCATTCTACTCAACATAACTTTAAGTTTATCAAAATTTGCTTTCCTGAAGTCCAACCTATATGTCTGACTACATACAGCTTTCACCTTCCCCAAGACTATAAATTCCAAAATTACATGGTCACTACTACCCAGGCTGCCCACTGCTTTCACCTCATTAACCAGTTCTTCCCTGTTGGTAAGAATCAAGTCCAAGATAGCAGATTCCCTTGTTTCCCTCTCCACATTCTGGGAAATGAAGTTGTCAGCAAGACAAGTCAGGAATTTATTGGACCTTTCATTTTTAGCAGAGTTGGACTTCCAACATATATTCAGGGAACTGAACTCTCCCATGACCACCATGTCCCATCTCTTTGAGAACTTTGTAATCTGTTCTAGGAGTGTCTCATTCAAGTCCTCTGCCTGGCTTGGTGGACTACAGGAGGCCCCCACCATAATATCTGTATTATTTCTTACTCCTTTTATTTTTACCCAGAGTCTCTCAACTGGTCTTTCATGCTCAGATGCATGTATTTCCTCACATGTATATATCTCCTTTACATATAATGCAACTCCTCCGCCCTTCCTTATCATTCTGTCCCTTTTAAATAAATTGTACCCCCTCAATCCTAATGTTCCAATTGTGAGTGTCATCCCACCAAGTTTCAGTAATGCCTATTAGATCATATCCCTATTAGGACTTCAAATTCCTCCTGCTTGTTTCCCATGCTCTGTGCATTAGTGTAGATTCATAGGAATCCATGTTTTATGCACCGTGAGGTTTTCATTTCTGTGCTTACATATGAGTTAATGTTACCTAGCATACATCCCACTCCCTGCAAAACTTTAGAGTTCTTATCTCCAGTTATTGGCATCATATTGGGCTTTGCATTTTTGTTTTGCTCCCCCACAGGATTTAGTTTAAAACTCTCTGTATTAGATTTGCAAGGCTGTTTCCAAACACATTTTTTTCCTACCCTTGTGAGGTGCAAACCGCTTCCTGATAGAAGAGCTTCATCTCAAAAGCATAAGCCATGGTCCAAAAATCCAAACCTTTCCTGATGACACCATCTACGCAGCCAATCATTGACCTGCAGTAATCTTTTTTCCCTTCCTAAACCACAGCCTTCAACAGGAAGAACTGATGAAAATACAATCTGCACTCCCAATTCCTTCACCTTTTTACCCAGAGCCACATAGTATCTTTTAATATGTTCTGAGCTATGCTGGGCAATATCATTTGTTCCCACGTGGATGTGCAAGAAGGGATAATAATCCATCGGCTTGATTAGTCTTCTTACCCTTTCCATCATATCCTGGATGCATGCACCCGGTAGATAGCATACCTCTTGAGACAACAAGTCTGGTCAGCACACTTTAGCTTCTACCCCTCTCTGTAGGGAAGCCCCAATTACCAACACACACCTTCTCCTATACTGGGGAGCAGAAGCTTGAGTCCTCTCATCCACAGGGGTCTGAGAATTTTCTTCAAGCTTTGTGGAGGCTGGGGGAGAAGCCCTTGTTCCAGTGGTTCAGAATCATTGTCTGTGGGGAGATCAAGAAACTGATTGCTTAGTAGCAGAGGGTCATAATGTCTCTTGATCTTCTTGCTCCTGTGGGTTACTTTCTTTCATGTGCCCTCCTCCTGTGTCAGGTGCTCCTCCATTTGCTGAGATACCTTTTCCTCCTTCTTCTGTTGCCCTCTCAGGAGTGCTTCATGCATTCTGTTCATGAAATCTTCACCTTCCATAATAAACTGGAGTGTGGACAAATGTGCCTCAAGTCCCTGTATCTTCTCCTCTAGTAGGGCTACCAACTTATACTTGCTGCAAGTGTGATTGCTGTTACCCTCAGGTAAGAACACAAACATGCCATAGATTTTGCACATCACTGCCTCAGCTCCCTCACCAGCCATGCTGCTGCAATCTATTTCAGAATTAGTTCAGTTTAACTGGCACTTCCTTGATAACTTCCCTGCCAAACTGTCTCTCAAGACTACTTGTGAAAGATTTGCAGAAGCAAAAACTAACTTAACAAATATAGAATGTAAGATCTACTCAGCTTTCTACAGGGCCCCCAGGCTAAGAGACCTTTAGCTCTTGCCCTTCAGCTTGTGCCTCTGGCAATGAGGAGCCTTAAAACAATTACAGGCTCATCTAGCAAAGGGTGGGGCCAGTAGTCAGCCCCAGGTAAAACTGCTAAAAGCCACAATCACACCCAGGCAAAAGAGACAAACAGAAACCACATGTCCTCAAACAAGCACCACTCTCCAACAGGCTATACACACTTACACACCCTCAAACACAGTCCTCCCACACAGTAACCTTAGCTACTTCTCCTCAGCAGTTAAGGAAGGCAAATAATAAAACACTCACTGCTCTAGTAGCAACTCCCTCTCCTGCCCCTTCTCAGAGCCCAGCTGGCTGTGGTCTGACTCTGGCAAGGAGGAGCCTTAATACAATTACAGGCTCACCCAGCAGAGGGCAGGGCCAGCAGTCAGACCCAGGTAAAACTGCTAAAAGCCACAATTGCTT